GTTGTAAACTTTCGTAATAAAAAGTAAAACGGCGTCCATAGAATCTGACAGCTTACTTTGAACAACTCTTAAAGAGGTTTCCTTAGCAACGCACCTCAAATTGTCGAAATAGAAGTCCAGAGTTGTATATTAACATACAACTCTGTAATAGAAGTACAAAACAGTACAACAGCATACCAATTAAAACTTCAAATCGCTCATTTTCCGACTTTAATATATCGTGTTCTCCGTCACAGAAAAAAATAGTGTACATTATTGTATGGAAAATATTAAATTTTAACTCTCGAGCTAAAATCTAATCCTTTTTTCCCTTGTATAATAAATAACTATTATTGTTTATTCATAAGTAAACAATGGTAATACCTACTGATGATATCAATGGTTGCATAGGGATATGGTTAATTGACTTAAAATAGTGAAGAAGTTCACGGGTCATCTTATAGATAGCACATGTTACATTTTTTCAAATGATAACTGGAATAAACCAGACTTATTGAGAAAACTTCGGAATTGAGAAGTTTTATCCATGGACCATGCGATAATAATAATCTCGTATACCTACCTAAATTAGTAACTGGTATGTGTAACAACTAATCCATGTGGTCGCCAAAAATAGATGAAATTCATGTTTTGGTCATTGAAATAATGCTCTTGGTTTTTTTCCCAACGATCTTGGTGCATATAAATAACGATTTTGACATGTTTTAATCAAAATTCATGTGGTCTCCAAAAATGCATCAAATTTATGTCTTTGGCATTGAGATTATGCTCTTAGTTCTTTCCCAACGATCTTGGTACATAAATAACGATTTTGACATGTTTTGATCAAAATCCATGTTGCCTCGGAAGAAGAGTTTAACATCTCTGAGTCATACACACACGGATATCATATGTGTATGTGATGTGCTCTTTTACCATCGAGATAATGCATTTGAAAGCGGGCATTAGAGTCATAGGGAATACCGAATAATCTAGCGAAAGTCCGAACTCGATACATGACCTATAATAGGGAATGAAATATGTTGATTTCTATTATATTGAGCTCGCAGTTTTTCCTGTTCCCGATTCACTCGAAGTCCTATAACTTTTGTTTCTATTGAACCAGCTTCCTGAAAATCAATCCTTAATGTCCAAAGTACCCGCACACCAAATTTCAACACAATCGGCCAGTTTTAAAAAGAGTAAAAGAGCACACACGGACGGACGGACAGACGGACGGACGACAATACAAAACTATCTCTGAGGATCCTTAATAAATACAGAAGTGAGGGATAGCAGCAATCTTACAAATGTTGACAAGGTCACTCTGACCAGTAACAATGTTAAGAGTTATGAATTCTCCACACGACAAAAGACACAATAAATCCAGGCAAATTCGCTTTCCGCCAACCAACCAAAATGATGACGGACGGACGGACCCACGGGCGGGCGCAAAAAGTGGCTACAATAACACATTTCTTATTTTTGTGGAAATGCGCTAAGACTTTGGCTCTGCGTACGCGCAATCCATTTTATGTTGTAAGAAGTCTCTTCTGTTAAAATTTCAGAAATGTGGTTACCTACCAGGTAAGAAACATTAGAATTTGGGCTAAGTAATCTATTTTTTGACCTTCGTTTTCTATTTTGTAAGACGCACACCTGATAAAATTCACAATAAGAAGTTGGCGTTGGCATCATGTGTCTCCATTTTGAAAGTGCTACTCTAACTTCAATTTTATAAGAAGCATCTACCTAAACTTTCAAAAGAGAATTGGTTCACAATTAACGAATATGATGGGTATGGAAAAGCATATATTTGTTTCACGCCGTGGTATTGAGTCTGCGTATAGGATCGTTTTATACAATTTATACTGCCGTCTGTCCTGTCCGGTCTACCTGTGCGTCTGTCCGTCCGACTGTCTTGTCCGTCATATCTGTTCGTCGGTTGTCCGCAGAGGATGTCGCAACTACGTGTAAACGCACCGCTTGCCCTGCTCGATTATTACAGCCCCAAGTGCCATCAGCATATGGTAATATTCTCGATTTGAATAATTATCGGCCATTATTTCGCAATTTGAATTGTACGATAATTACAATAAATTGTTTTGAACTATCTTTTGTTTTCCGGCATTGTCATTTTCAGATTTTTCGAACAACAACTCGAAAAGTGCCGGTCTGATCAAAAACTGGTAGAGGAACTTTTTATTCAGTTTTCGTTGTATAACACCATCCCACAGTCCGTGTGCGCGAATTTCGAAACACCCTGTA